CATGGGGACTTTCCTGCCTGGACTGACTTTGAACCTTGGTCCTCAGAGCTTAGCCTCCAGAGAAGCTAGGATTATACCAGTGAGCCACCAGTGGTGTCCTGCTAGAGTACCAATTTTAAGTGAAAAAGCTAAGCACCCAGGCCCTGAGTTCAAGCACTAGTACTGGAACATGCACATAGGCACTAAGAGAGAGGGGGAGAGGAAGAAAGAAGGAGGAGGAAGAGAAGGAAGAGGAAGAGGAGGAAAAGGAGGAGGAGGAGGAGGAGAAACTGGGTGTGGTGGTATATGTTTATAATTTCTAATTCCAGCACTAGGGAGACTGAGACAGGAGGATCAAGAGTTCAAGGGCCAGCCTGGGCTACATAGCAAGATATAAGAGAGAGAGAGAGAGAGACAGACAGACAGACAGACAGACAGATGGACAGAGACAGAGACACAGAGAAAGAAAGAGACAGACAGAGAGAGGTGCTAGCTTAACATGTGTAAGACCACAGAGAGACACAGAGGTCATTTATGTAACCTTGCAATTATGCAGAAAGGGTGAGTATAATAGAGCAATGGAGCGCCTCCAAGCACAGGGCCAGCACTTACCCAAGTGTGGTCATGGTGACAATAGTATACCAGAAGGCTGCAGGGATGCTTGTAAAGTTGGTCTTACTGGTGCCCTTCTCAGCATAGAACATGACAGTGGCGAAGATGATGATGGCCATGGTGAGGGAAAAGAGGAGAAAGCCCAGCTCAGAGGCACAGCTCTTGAGTGTGTAGCCCAGAATCCGCAAGCCCTGTGAGTGCCTGGAGAACTTGAAGATGCGGAAGACCCGAAACACACGCAGAGTGACAAAGGCACCCGAGACATCATCGTTCTTGGGCACAAAAAGCCCTATATAGTAGGGCAGGATGGCCACCACGTCGATGAGGCTCATGACACTTCGCAGAAAGCGGCAACGGCTGGGGGCGGCAAAAAGCCGCAGGAGGTATTCCCCGGTGAAGATGAGCACACAGGCAGTGTCCATACAGAAAAAAGCCATCGGGAAACGGTCACCACAGGGCTGCTCCCTTGGGGGCCTCCGGGCAGGACCACGGCATGGGATGGTCTCCACCACATTGGCGATGACCGACACAGCGATGAAAAATCCAGTTACGTAGTAGAAAACGAGGGCCGCGGTGCTTGTGTGTGGGTTCTCGAAGGCCCGCCAGAGCCGCTGTCGTAGGGAGCTGCCCGCAGGCAGGGCTGGGCCCTCCCCAGCCTGTTCAGCCTCCTCATCCTCTGCCAGGCGCTCAGCGTTTTCCTTCTTGCGGTCCCGGTACTCTTCAAGGCAACAGTCACCCACAAGCTCGGGGACCAGGCCATAGAAAGCCAGCTCCTCATCGAAGGCCTGGATGCACTCCTGCCTGGGACAATGAAGCCTGCCTGTTCTGTAGAAGTTCAGCACGTGCCGGAACATGTCCGGGTCACGATCGAAGAAGTACTCGCCTGAATCAGCATCGTAGAAGAACTCTTTCTCTGAGCTGCCCAGTAGGGTGTCTGGGTAGCGATCCAGCGTGTTTTTCCAGGTCTCGAAGCGTCGTCCACTTACATTCACCACCAGAACCTCATCTCCTCGTGATGCCTTCACCCCTGGTGCGGGAGGCAGGGGTTGCTGGGCCAGGGGCAGCCAGCCCACAGCTGCAGCCCGTGCAAAGGGCAACCACGTGGCTACTCCTGCTGCCATCCTGAGGGGCTCCCCAGGCTCCTAGAGACTTGGGGGTGGGGTGGCTGTTTAGGAGAATGTCGCTGTCTCCAGGATGATGGAGGCTTGAAGAGGCCCTGGGCTACTTGGACAACAAACTACAGGTGTCTAGCGAAGCCAAGATGAACCAGGAGGAGGAACTACGAGAGAGACACAGAGAGAGAGAGAGGAGCTTGGGGGTCATTTAGAGGTACTAGGTAGGGTCTGAGTGGTGTCCTGAGTGGTAAAGAAGGGTACCACGGTAGACCGAGTGTCCAAGAAGGACTGTCAGGTTTAGAGAGATGGAGATGACTCTAGAATGGTTAGCATGCTCCTAACAAATGTGGGAGGTGTCAAGAGGGACCAAGAAACAGATGGGGAACTGTCCACACTTGAGTTCTCAGGGAAGGAAAAAGGGCTTGGAATACTTTGACCACATTGGAGAGAGGATAGGGGCATCCAGAGGTGGACCCAGAGGGGCTTGAAAGAGGTTGAGTGTCTGGAGCGGAGGGTCTAGAGGGAGGATTGTCCAAACCTTCAAGACCTCTGGGGGAAAGACGAAAGGATTAGAAATCCCTTGTGGGTTTAGAATGGGGGTTGGAGCATCTCAAGGGTGGCTACAGAGCCAGGAGGTTGTAAAGAGGCTAAAAAGTGTCTTGGGAGTGCTTGGAGCAGCCAAGAATAGCCTGGGGGTGTTGGCTACATTCTACAGGAGTTATGGGGGAAGGCAGAAGCCAGGGCCCACTGGTAGGGCTATCGAGAAGAATGGGTTAGCTAAAGGGGTGGACCTGGAGCTGGGTTTTTAAGAGACTGATAGGTGTAGGGGGCAGTATATCTACAGGGGCTCAGGAAGCCCCAGGTCCACACTCCAAAGAGTTTTTAGGGAGGAAAAAAAGGGATCCAGGGAATCCCAAGGAGCTGGGATTCAAACTGCAGCAAAGTTGGGCACAGACCCTGAGCATCCAGGGGAATTGCAAAACACTAAGAGGCAGGGGTTCCCCCCCCCCCCTACCTCAAGATGTGCTGGAGAGGGGGTGGGATGTTGAAAGGGAGTTGGGCGTGTCTCCAGGGAGGGGCTGCTGGATTTGGCAGGAGGCTGGGGTAGGGGAGGCCAGGAGAGGGCTGGGTACCACAGTTGGGGGCAGGTCTGGGGAAACCACACCCGAGGGGCTGGTGATGTACTAGGCAGCAATAGCGGCTGCAGGAACAGAAGACAGCAGCCACAGCCAGGCCTAGGAGGGAAGGCGGCACCGGCAGGAGAAAGGGGCTGGGTCCCTGGAAGGACAAGGTCCAGTGGGGATCCCTTGAGGATATCCCAGGATGGGCTAGGAGGTGGGGGCTGGACTAGGGAAGGGCAAGGAGAGCACTGCTGGTAGTCCCTTCCCCCTCCCCATAGGGCGGTCCTCACCTGTGTCCCCGCTGCTGCTGCTGCTGCAGCAACAGCGATGGGGCTGGGGGTACCAAACACCGGAGCTCCAGGCCCCCTCTGCAGAGCTGCTTGAGTTGTCTTCCTGCTCCGGCTCTCTCTCCCCACCCCTCCGAGCTTGCCGGGAGATGGAGTGAGAGGCAGGGAGGGGCCTCCTGGCTCCCCGAGCCCCCTCCCCTAGGATAGCCAGAGAGGGACCCTGGGGAGACTCCGCCTCCTACAAAGCTGGTTGGGCCTCAGTCGCGTCATCTGGAAAATGGGGGTGGCAGCGAGTGTTGCCAGTCCTCCCCACCTCCTTCCTGGACTCCCCCCCTCTTCCTGCCCAGCTCTTACCCGCTCTACCCCCAGGGGCACCCCCACCCCCACCCGCCTGAATCAGCAGCACTTAGCAGATCGGATCGATGGGGAGGCATCCGTTAATGGCCCCAGAGCGGGAGTGCCACGGAGAATGATGCAGCGCAGTGTCCCATCCCCGCCCCCCAGGCTGTGAAAGGGCAGAAGCCGGAGTGGGGTGGTATTAGAGGAGGTGTTTCTCTAGATAGCCCGGTCTCTAAAGAGACCCCCTGGAGGACATGGGTCAAAGTGCCAGCTCTAAACAAGACTTCTTCCAGTGTTGGAACTGTAATACCCATCTTCCATCCTATTTTCGGGTGTGGAGAGGAGCAATGGGAGTGCAGATGGGACAACCCAGGTTCTACCCTCAGCCTGGCAGACCCTTTGCCAAGGCAGGGCTTCCTTATCTGTCCAGATCCAGTGGCCTCAAATAATACTTTTTCTAGAGAGGGCTCTGTGCCTGGGTGGTGAGAGGAGTACTTTGTATGGAGTGCCTCTGGCAGGCATAGGAGGGTACAGACCCCAACTATGCCACTGACTTGCTGCGTCCTTGGGCAAGTGACTTGCATTGTTTCCTCAGTTGTTAGATGGAGTTATACCAACTTAAGTGTCATTGGAAGCTTGCACTGAAGTGATGTGATATGGCACTGGGCCTGGCAGGATGTTTTATTTTTTCTGAGACAGGGTAGCTTGGTTGGCCTCAGCTTTGTGGTGCTGGGGTTACCGGTGTGTACCACCATGCCCAGCTAGGATGCAAGATATTAAATAACTAAAGGTGTGTTGTGAGAAGGGGTATAGTAGGGCAAGGCTAAGCCTAGCCTTTCAATCCATATACCCGCCCATAAAAGCCTCTATTTTATCACACACTTCATTTGTCCATTCTTCCATCCTTCTATCCACCAATCCATATACCCATCTCTCCATTTATTAATCTACCCACAAATCTACTCATGCATTTGTATGTTCACCCCATCCACCCAACCATTTGCTAACCTATCTGCGTGTATCAACCCACCTATTTGTCCTTTTATCCATCATTTATGTACCCACTTTATTCTTCTCCATTCACTAGCTCATCCACCCCTTTACATACCAATTTACTCCCCACCTGTCTGTAAACCCATCCGCTTATCTACCCGATTCATGCACCTTCCCATTTGTCTGTCCACTTACATCTTCACTTATCTATCTTCTATTCACTTACTGATGTCTTCCCATTTATATATCCAGTCACCTACCCATCCATTTATTTTTCAATGTATCCATCATCCATCCTTGCATCTTCCCACTTATATTTATCCATTAGTCCACCCAACCACTTATCCATCCTGCCATATGTCCACTCATCTACATCATACATACCCACCCACCCACATATCCGAAGATCATTCTGTTTCAGTTTGAGAGGTTGGTCAGGAGGCAGGTGAGGTAAGGTGAGGTGGAGGAAGTTGCAGACTTCCCTCCCCATTCCATTGGAGTGACCTTCCCATTCCCAGCACATCCCTCTTGATTGAAAAGAATGAGACCAGACATTCAGTGGGTGGGCCCGTCTGGCCAGATGGTATTTTGGCTGCACAGCCTTTACACACGCGCGCGCGAGCACACATACATACACACACGCACACACATATTGCTAGAATGCTGAACATGGACCGCATCCCCACCCAACATCCCCATTCCCAAATGTAGAGTAGCCAGGCTTTCAAACATAAATTAAAAAATAAAATAAAATAATTTAAAAAAAGAGTTGTTCTCTGGGAGGGAGAGCTCATGCAGAGATGAAGGCAGAAGCCCCTGGACTAGGGCTAAGAAGGAGAATTCTCTGCCCTTCCCTTGGGACCCTTCCCTACCCCTACTCCCTAGGGGCCTTTGCCCTAAGACAGGTATTAACACCAGCCATAGGCCTTTGCCCCTTTAATGTTCAGTCTCCCAAACTACTAGATTTTGATGCCAGCCTTCATTTTCCCACCACAGCCCAAGGGAAAGGCATCCTGGGGGCTGGAAAGGGGAAGGAGTAGTTGCAGTCTGCAGATCTTTAGCTGGCTTCTCCGGGCTGTAGGTCTGGGTCAGGAGACCCTACACACTCCTTGCTGAGACGCACAATTTCCTGGGACAGAACTTCCATGTCCTAAGAAACAAACAAGCAATCAAGAGCCAAAGCAGTAAGCAGGGGTTATTCCACCTACCAAACCTGGAGTGCCATCTATGATTCCCTAGCAGTGTCTTGGCCTGGTGTGGGAAGGTGCCTGGAGAAACTTGAAGTGTCCTAGAGGGCTGGACTAGATGGGTAGGGGATTTCTGGAACTAAGAGGATGAGGTAGGTCATCTGCTGTAGCCTGATACTGCTATAGGATACAACTGTCACCCTCATTACCTCTCTTAACAAATATGAGCTTGCTTGTCCAAAGCAGGATCTGAGTCTGACTGCCCCAGAGATGGGGAAATATTTGGTGGGGACAAATGGACATATGAATGGACACATTGGGAATGTGTAGCAGGCAAATAGGTATACTAGGAGATTGTGCTGAGGATAACAGGTAGGGAGTTAGGTCATTGCGTAGGTATGTGAAAGGTAAGACAAAGGGTGATTCATGAGTAGATAAGGAAAAATGGTGGGCTGGGAAATAGGTGGAAGTACAGTATGGTAGATACCCAAAGGGGTAAGTGGTTGGGTGAATGGGTGTATGAATGAATGATTTGGTACATGGAGGAGTAGAGGGAAGAGTAAATGACTAAGCTGCTATGTTGACTGAAGGATAGAAGATGAGAGCATGTAAGGGTGATGGATGAATGGGTAGGATGATGGCTGAATTGACCCAGGGACAGAGTAGCTGAGGAGATAGGAGGCTGTATGGATATGGTGAGCAGGTAGGCCACACTCACCTTGTGCAAATGCATATTCTTGGTAAGCTGCTCTTCTAGCATGTTCTGCAGCTTTTTGTTCATCTCCCGAAGGTTCTCATCGCCTGGCTTCACTAGGTCTCTTAGGACACTGCCCAGCCCACTTCGGTCTGTGTGGCCTGCTGCCACAGATACATCTGCAAGGTTCCCAGGCTGAGTACCACTCTCTCGGCAGAGTCAAAGGAGAGCCAAGAGAGTGGGCAGAGCCAGAGGAGGAAAGAAGGAAACAAAGTACAGGCAAGAAGGGAGGGAGAGCAGCCATGTTATGTAGGCGGACACAAGCTTCAATGTGAGAAACACAACTATCACTTACTAGTCATGTGACGGGGTGCTGGTGGCTCATGCCTGTAATCCTAGCTACTTACTTAGGAGGCTGAGATTTGAAGATCAAAGTTCAAAGTCCACCCAGGCAGGAAAGTCCATGAGACTTACATCTCTAATAAACTACCAAAAAGCTGGAAGTGGAACTGTGGCTCAGGTAGTAGAGCATGAGCCCTGAGCAACAGAAACTCAATGCCCAGGTCCTGAGTTCAAGCCCCAGTTAGCCCCAATTATGGCATACAAAAGAGGGGTAAGGTACAGAAAATGAAAATTTATGGACACATAACAATAGAGCTAGTAAGACAAGATGGAAGGGGACAGAAAAAAGTAACACAGGAAAAAAAAAAAAAACAGGAAAAAGCAGAGAGGAAAAGAGACAGACAAGATAGACATAGGGAAAAAAGACAAAGAAGGCCAAAGAAACCCACTAGAGAACAGGGAATGGAGAGATGACAGGGACCTGGAGATAAAAGAGGAGGCAAGATAAATGCACAAAGCTTCCCTACTCCCCCCCATACCATGGTCATGGTCTTGTCAGTTCCAAGAAAAGAGAAGTTACAGCATAGATCAATGGAAGGAGGTCAGGTAAAGGCTGGACTGGGAAGAGGATACTGACCAATCCGGCTGTCCATGACGTAGGTCTCAATGATGGCACTCTTCCGGCAAAGGTCCTCTGCCATCGAGGCACTGCTCACTTCTAGATGTTTAACCTGCAAGATGGCCCAGCCCATTTCAGGTCTCTCAACTACATAGTTCACTCATAAGATGAGGAGACCCAGCCCTAACCCCTTCTCACTGAGCATCCCCACAGCACTTCAAGTGGCCTAAGCAAGTAGATAGTACCTTCTCCTCCAGCATCCATTTCTCCTGTTGTGTTTCAGCCAACCGCTGAAAGAGTTCAGCTACTTCTTCATCTGATAGCTCTGCTGGCCGAGGGGGTTGGGCCTGAGGGCTGCTAGATAAGGACTGCAAGGAAAGAGGAAAAACCAGGTCAGGTTCAGCATGGCCTATGCTAGACTTGAGTCAGAGGTTAGAGGTGGTAGGCAATCATGGGCCCCGTGGTTAGGGCTGGAGACCAGTACTGGAACTCTCAAAGACTCATTCCTCTTGGTCTAAAGGCAGGAGGGTGGAGTAGACAGTATAATCACTGCATCAGAGCCTGGATGAGAGATGGATGATCCAGTAGACAGGAAATGAAGGTAAGAGCACAACAAACTAAATGGCACCAATAGGAAGTTAGAAGAAAAAAAATCTAGACAGGCACCAGTGGCTCATACCTGCAATCCTGGCTACTCAAGAGGCTGAGACTGTGGATTGCCATTGGAAGCCAGCCCAAGCAGTGAAATCTGTGAGACATATCTCTACTAAAACTACTAAAAGAGCTGGAAGTGCAGCTATGGCTCAAGTGGTAGAGGGCTACCCTTGAGCACAAAAGCTCAGGGATAGCACCCAGACCCAGACAGAGTTGAAGCCCCAGGACCAGAAAAAAAAAATCTAAAAGGAAGGACATTTCCTATAGACCAACAGGAATGGTCTCTTCTACACACTAGTGTTAGGAGGAAAAAAAAGTGACCGCACTAAACTAAAGCAACTTAAGAGACAAAAAACTACCACAAGGGCTGGGAAGGTGGCTCAGTGGTAGAGTGCTTGCCTTGAATGCATGATGCCCTGGGTTCGATTCCTCAGCACCACATAGCAGAGAAAGCTGGAAGTGGAGCTATGGCTCAATTGGTAGAGTGCTAGCCTTGAGCTGAAGAGCTGAGGGACAGCACCTAGACCCAGAGTTCAGGCCCCATGACCAACCAAAAAAGAAAAAAAACTACCACAAACAATATATGCTTTGAATATTGGTTGTACAATAAAGGCTGTTTGGGGGTCAATTATAGAAATCCTATTAAGGTCAAAGTAATAGATGAAATGAAAATTTAACTACATTAGGAAGATACCAAGGTAGAGAGATCACCTGAACATAAACATGATAGGCTTTACCTCACTTGGGTTTAAAATAGAGAAAATTGGAAGGATATAAATTGGGATTGTGGGTGTGTGTGTATGTGTGTGCACGCATATGCATGCACCTGCATGCCAGTCTTTGGGTGGCTACAGCTCTAACAAACCACACTTTCAGCTTTGTGGTGGCTAATTGGAGATAAGAGTCTCAAAGATTTTCCTGTCTGAGCTGGCTCAAATCATGGTCCTTAGATCTCAGTCTTCTAAATAGTTATGATTATAGGCTTGAGTCACCAGCACTTGGATTTTTTTTTTTTTTTGTCGGTCGTGGGGCTTGAACTCTGGGCCTGGGCGCTCGCTGTCCTTCAGCTCTTCAGCTCAAGGCGAGCGCTCTACCACTTGAGCTACAGCGCCACTTCCGGTTTTCTGGTGGTTTATTGGAGATAGGAGTCTCACGGTCTCTCCTGCCCGGGCTGGCTTTGAACCGCGATCCTCAGATCTCAGCTTCCTGAGTAGCTAGGATTACAGGCGAGAGCCACCAGCGCCCGGCTTTTGGATTTTTTTTAGATAAGATCTCACTATGTTGCTCAGGTTGGCCCCCAACCTCCTGGGCTTAAGCAGTCCTCCTGCCTCCTACGTAGCTTAGATTACAGGCATGTGCCACTGTGCCTAATGTGAACTAAGAATTAATAATAGTGGGCTGGGAAGGTGGTTCAGTGGTAGATCGCTTGCCTTGCATGCTCGAGGCCCTGGGTTCGATTCCTCAGCACCACATAAGCAAAAAGAAAAAAGCCGGAAGTGGCGCTGTGGCTCAAGTTGTAGAGCGCTAGTCTTGAGCTGAAGAGCTGAGGGACAGTGCCCAAGCCCAGAGTTCGGGCTCCATGACCGGACCCCCCCAACAAAAAAAAAGAATTAATAATAGTATAGTCAGGCTGGGTACTGGTGGCTCACCCCTGTAAGCCTAGTTACTAAGGAGGCTGAGATCCGAGGATCGTGATTTAAAGCCAGCCAGGGTGGAAAATGTGATGAGACATCATCTCTAACTAACCAGCCAAATGTCAGGTTGGAAGTGTGGCTCAAGTTGTAGAGCACTAGGCATGAGCGCTTGCTAGTGAGCCTAGTGAGTGTGAGGCCCCGAGTTCAACCTTAGTATCATAAAAAAAATTATAATAGTAATTCTAGATGAAGATGGGATTTTCTTGTCAGTTGTAGGGCTTGAACTCTGGGCCTGGGCCCTGTCCCTGAGCTCTTCAGCTCAAGATTAGTGCTCTACCACTTGAGCCACAGAACCACTTTCCATTTTCTGGTGGTTAATTGGAGATAAAAGTCTCACGGACTTTTCTTGCCCAGGCTGGCTTTGAACTGTGATCCTCAGATCTCAGCCTCCTGAGTAGCTAGGATTACAGATATGAGCCACAGGTGCCCAACCAAGATGGGATTTTTTTTTACATTTAAATTTCTAAATTCGAGGTTTTTTCAATTCCTATAATATATACACATTGAATAAAAAAGCATTATTTCCAAAAAAAGTTACTAATAGGGACGATAATGTGATAGATGGTAATAATAATGAGTAAGTTGGGAAAAGGGACTTGTTTTACAATGAGAATGAGTGGCCTGTCCGCATGCAGCAATATAAACCCAAGTTGATGAGCTTGAGTTGACAAAAAAATGCTTGTGCTAGCTGGGCAATGGTCTCTCATGCCTGTAATCCTAGCTACTCCAGAGGCTGAGAGCTTATGATCCTGGTTCAAAGCCAGCCTGGGCAGGAAAGTCCATCAGACTCTTATCTCTAATAAACTACTCAGAAAAAGCTGGAAGTAGCACTGTGGCCCAAGTGGTAGAGTGCTAGCCTTGTGCAAAAGATGCTCAGGGACAGCAATCCAGGCCCTGAGTTCAAACCCCAGGACTAGCAAAAAAATGCTTGTGCACAGCTGTATCAGTGATAAAGCATGTGTTGGGCACATGAGTATGTGTGAAGTCCTAGGTTTGATCCTCAATACCCAAATACAAGAAAAAGAATAAGGAAAGTAGAGACTACGGGAAGGTTCATATAGATGTCTTCAGTTAAGGGAAAAGTAGGAATAGCCTAGCTTTTGGGTGAGGAGAAGTTGAGGCTACAGGCTCATCCTTGGCACTTACCCTGGCTGGAGCGGCAGAGCTCTCCTTCTCTCGCAAGATCTCCCGGTAGCTGAAGGAGGAGATGCTACTGCTGTCCCCTGTTTGAGTCCGGCTTGGTGAGTTCATCTCAGAGAGAACTAGCTCCTCGAGGCCTGAACAGTAAAGAGAAAAGAAATCTGAGCCCCAAACCCTCTGGGCACCAGAGCAGTGACAGGCAAGAAGAGGCAGAAATACATTTGACAGCAATAAATAGAGGCAAAGAGACACACTCCAGCATGGGAAAGATAACCAGGCAGAAATTGAAAAAAGAAGCCAGGCGCTAGTGGTTCACACCTAAAATCCTAGCTACTCAGGAGGCTGAGATGTGAGGATAGCAGTTCAGCCAGCCCAGGCAGTAAAGTCCATGAAACCCATCTCCAATCAACCATCAAAAAGGCAGAATGAGAGCCCTGCGCTGTGGCTCACACTTGTAATCCTGGCTACTCAGGAGGCTGAGATCTGAGAATGGCAGTTCAAAGCCAGCCTGGGCAAGGAAAGTCTGTGTGACTCATCTCCAGTTGACCATCAGAAAACTGGAAGTGGTGCTGTGGCTCAAGTGGTAGACCACTCTTCTTCAACTGAAGAGCTCAGAGACAGGGCCCAGGCCCAGAGTTCAAGCCCCACAACCGACAAAACAAAGAAAAAAGGTGTAATTAGGGTTCTGGCTCAAGTGGTAGAGTGCCAGCTTTGAGTGATAAAGCTAAAGGACAAGCTGGGAGTCAGTAGCTCACACCTGTAATCCTAGCTACTCAGAAGCTGAGATCTGGGGATCATGGTTTAAAGCCAGCCCATGCAGGAAACTCTGTGAGACTCTTATCTCCAATAAACTACTCAGAAAACCAGAAGTGGCACTGTGGCTCAAGTGGTAGAACACTTGCCTTGAGCTGAAGAGCTGAAGGACAGCGCCCAGGCCAAGAGTTCAAGCCCCATAACTGACAAAAAAAAATAGCCAAAGAACAGCTCAAGGTCCTTAGTTGAAGTCACAGTACTGGTACATACACAATGAAAGAGGACAATGAGGGGATAAATGAACCACAAGTGTCCTAAACATTCAGAAATGGGAACAAATGCTGGGCACTAGTGGCTCATGCCTGTAGTCCTAGGTACTCAGGAGCCTGAGATCTGAGGATAACAGTTCAAAGCCAGGGCATTCAGGAAAGTTCATGAGACTCTTATCTCCAACCAACCACCAGAAAACCGGAAGTGGTGCTGTGGCTCAAGTGGTAGAGCGCTCGCCTTGAGCTGAAGAGCTCAGGGACAGTGAGTGCCCAGGCCCAGATTTCAAGCCCCACAACCAACCAAAAAAAGAAAAGAAAAAGCAAGGAATGGTGGTGTGGCTCAAGTGGGAGAGCAGAAGGAGCAGAAAGAGCTCAGGGACAGCACCTAGGCACAGAGTTCAAGTCCCAAGACCAGCAAAAGAGAGAAAAGAAAAAAAGAAAGAAAAGAAAAGAGTGAGGGGAGGGGAGGGGAGGAGAGAGAAGGGGGACAGATAGCTAGAGGTCTTAGGGGCATATGCACAACCACATGCAGGGAAAACCCCAGAGATAGGAAGCCAGAGCAAGATGATGGAGCAGAGTCACAGAAAAGATGGTGTCAGACTTGTAGCCATGCACTGAGACCTCAATTCTAACAGGTAGGGAAATGTATGATTTACAATTCTAATCTATCCCATGCTTCTCCATTAATATGAAACAAAAAACAGAAACAAAACTCTTCTATCATAAAGACAGATTATCTCTGGGGACTGAGGGCTTCAGCGAGACATTGATTGGGTAAGAGAGATGTCTGTTTAGCCATGTCACATAACATAGGCACTTGGTTGTGCCTGGTGGCACACACCTGCAGGAAGATTGCTTACGCCCAGGAATTCAAAGCCAGCCTGGGCAACATATCAAGACTTCATCTTAAAACAAACAAATTAAAAAAAAACAAAAACTGGTTAGACATGGGTGGCTCATGCCTATAATTCTAGGGACTCAGGAGGCTGAGTTCTAAGGATCATGGCTCAAAGCCAGCCTGAGCAGGAAAGTCTGTGAGACCCTTATCTACAAATAACCATCAGAAAACTGGAAATGGCGCTGTGGCTCAAAGTAGTAGAGCACTAGTCTTGAGCAAAAAAAAAAACTTAAGGACAGCACCTTAGCCCTGAGTCTAAGCCTCACGACTGACCAAAAATACAAAAACAAACAAAGGAATCCAAAAACAGGCACCAATGGCTCACACCTGTAATCCTAGCTACTCAAGAGGCTGAGATCTGAGAACCACAGTTCAAAGACAGCCTGTGCAGAAAAGCCCTTGAAACCCTAATCTCCAATTAACCACCAGAAAACCAGAAGTGGTGCTATGGCTTAAATGGTAGAGTGCTTGCCTTGAGCTGAAGAGTTCAGGGACAACGCCCAGGCCCAGAGTTCAAGCACCATAACCGACAAAAAAATAAAATAAAATAAAATAAATTCAAAAACAGAAGCCAGGTGCCAGTGCCTTATGCCTATATTCCTAACTACTAAGGAGGCTGAGATCTGAAGATCACAGTTCAAAGCCAGCCTGGGGAATAAAAGTCCATGAGACTGGGGCTGGGAAGGTGGCTCAGTGGTAGAGTGCTTGCCTTGCATGCATGAAGCCCTGGGTTTGATTCCTCAGCACCACAAAGGCAGAAAAAGCCATGAGTGGCGCTGTGGCTCAAGTGGTAGAGTGCTAGCATTGAGCTGAAGAGCTGAGGGACAGGGTCCAGGCACAGAGTTCAGGCCTCACAACTGACCAAAAAAAAATAAAAGTCCATGAGACTGTTATCTTCAATTAACTACCAAAAAGCCAGAAGTAGCCCAGCGCCAATGGCTCAAACCTGTAATTCTAGCTACTCAGAAGGCTGCGATCTGATGATTGTGGTTCAAAGCCAGCCTGGAAAGAAAGTCGGTGAGACTCTTCAATTAACCACCAGAAAACTGGAAGTGGAGCTGTGGTTCAAGTAGTAGAGTGCTTGTCTTGAACTGAAGAGCTGAGGGACAGTGCCCTGGCCCAGGGTTCATGCCCCACGACCAACAATTTTTTTTTTTTTTTGCCTGAACTCTGGGCCTGGGCGCTGTCCCTCAGCTCTTCAGCTCAAAGCTAGTGCTCTACCTCTTGAGCCACAGCGCCACTTTCGGCTTTTTTTTTTCTTTTTGCTTATGTGGTGCTGGGGAATCGAACCCAGGGCCTCATGCATGCAAGGCAAGCACTCTACCACTAAGCCACCTTCCCAGCCCCCAACAATTTTTTTTTAAAGCTCAGGAATAGCACCCAGGCCCTGAATTCAAGCCCCATGACCAAAAAAGAGAAAAAAGTCAGAAGTAGAGTTGTGTTAGAGCTCAAGTGGTAGAGCATTAGTCTTAAGCCAAAAAAGAAACTCAGGATAATAAGAAATATACTCATTATCTTGCCCATGTAATTGTAACCCCTCTGTACAGTATTTTCACAATAAAAAAAAAGAAACCCAGGACAGCTCCAAAGCCCTTTTTCCAACCCCCCCCCCCCCCACATGTGAAACTGAAAACAGAAAGCTTATCTTTCTGGCTGGTTTTTGATGGAGAGTACGTTGACACCACACCCTCAAGGGATCTTCAGCAACTAAACAAGATGGAAGATGGTCTAGCTGTGTCTATGTAAATGTCTTCTGCCTTAAGTGGCAGGACTAACATGGAATGGCTTTGTTATGCAATGAAAATGGTGTGATGTTGCTGTTTGTGTGGAAATCTCTTGCTTCATTGGGAGTTCCTGAAGAGTAGTGGCTTGGGGAATTTTGTATTGGTGACCCTTAGACTTTCTGGGTGGGGATTTATACAATGAGAATGGACATGATAGATTTAGAAACACTAAATGAGATGTGGGAGTGTGTATGTGAGGTGACAGAGACATAAGCAGAAGTCAGAAGAGAGAAGATAGACACACAGAGATAAAGAAATAAAAGGTCAGAGAGATGAAAAGGTGGGGAGGAGAAAAGGAAAGATCTAGAGAAAGAATGCAGGGAGATAATTGTATACACAGAGAATATAGAGCAAAATGAGACAGAGAGGCACAGAAAGACAGGAACAAAGAAAAGAGAACAGTAGCAGGACACTAATGGCTCACTCAACTCCTATATTCCTGGCTATTCAGGAGGCTGAGATCTGAAGTTTAATGCTCAAAGCCATTCCAAACAAGAAAGTCTGTGAGACTCTTCTTTCCAATTAACCACCAAAAAGCCAGAAGTGGAAATGTAGCTCAAGTGCTAGAGTGCCAACCTTTAGTAAAAAAGCTTCAAGATGCTGGGTGCCAGTGGCTCATGCCTGTAATTCTACCTACTCAGGAGGCTGTGATCTGAGGATAGTGGTTCAAAGCCAGCCTGGGCAGGAAAGTCTGTGAGATTCTTATCTCCAATTAACCACCAGAAAACTGGAAGTGGTGGTGTGGTTCAAGTGCTAGAGTGCTAGCCTTGAGCTGAAGAGCTCAGGGACAGCACCCATGCCCAGAGTTCAAGCCTCACAACCAACAACAACAAAAAGCTTCAGGAAAGCGCCCTGTCCCTGAGTTCAAGCCCCAGTATCAACTAAAAGAGAAAAAAAAGGACAGTAAAAAGGAGACAGGCATAAAAAGAAAATGCAGAGAAAGAAAAGGATAGGTGACAGAGAACAGACAAGAGATATAGCTCAAGGGGCTGGGAAGGTGGCTCAGTGGTAGAGCGCTTGCCTTGCATGCCTGAGGCCCTGGGTTCAATTCCTCAGCACCACATAAGCAAAAAGAAAAAAGCCACAAGTGGTGCTGTGGCTCAAGTGGTAGAGCGCTAGCCTTGAGCTGAAGAGCTGAGGGACAGCGCCGAGACCCAGAGTTCAGGCCCCACAACTGGACCCCCCCCCAAAAAAAAGAGAGATAGCTCAAAAGGGACAGAGAAAATCAGAAAGCAGGGCCAAAGGCCGCACAGCATGCCTGCTGGGCCTGTCCTCCTTCCTCACCTGAGCGGCTCTTGCTGTTGGTGAGGATGTCCTGCAGCCTCTCCTGCAGCTTGTCAGCCCGTTTCCGCTCCAGGTGTAACTGCCGCTTGAGATCCTTGAGCTATGGGGGAAAGGGAAAAGGGGAAAAGACAAAATATGAGGATTGAGGCCCAAGAAACCCACAGGGATGTGGGGGGCACAAGCTAGGAAGGGGCTATGTTTGGGCACCCTCCCATCTTACTGCAGCACTGCCCTTCTTCTCCAGGATCCGCTGTCCGTCCACTGTGTCTTTCACCTCCTATAGTTAAAGAGTGTACAGCTGGCAGATGACCACAAACTACCTATAGTGCACCCTCTTCCTGTCCCAGGCTGCAGGCTGAGACCCAGGCCTCCTCTTGGAGCCACGCCGAGACCACAGACCTGCTTCAGGCTGTTGATGGTCTTCACATGGTCATCTCTCTCCTCCTGGGCCTGCTGGAGCTGGTCCCGCACACCTTGTAGCTCCTCCTCCTTATCCTATAAAGTAAACAGCAACTCAGGCCACAGGTGGAAAAACCTGTGTGTCCATAATACTGCTTGTCAGTACCCAGACCAGAAAGAACATCATCAAGTGAGAGGCACCTTCAACTCAGCAGCATGCTGCTCCTGGCACTGCTTCAGAGCTTCCTCTTGTTCCTGCTGCTGCTCCTGCAAGGATTCCTAAAAGACAAGTTCCAAGTCTAGGCACGCCCCACCCCCACTAGAACAAGGCATGCCCAGTTATGGGTGTGTAGACTCCAGTAGGACTCATGGGGATATACAAAAAAGACTTTTTTAGCTGGGTGCTAGTGGCTCACATTGTAATCCTAGCTACCCAGGATGCTGACACCTAAAGACCAAGATTCAAAGCCAACTTGAGCAAGAAAGCCGAGAGACCTCCAATTAACAAGCAAAAAGCCAGAAGTAGAGGTGCAGCTTAAATGGTAGTGTGCTAGCTTTGAATGAAAAGGCTAAGTATGAGCACACAAGAAAATAAACTTGGCTAGGAATGTGGTTTAGTGGTAGAGTGCTTGCCGTATGCATGTAGCCCTCAGTTTGATTCCTTCATACCATATAAACAGAAAAAGCCAGAAGTGGTGCTGTGGCTCAAGTGGTAGAGTGTTAGTCTTGAGCACAGAAAGACTCAGGGACAGCGCCCAGGCCCTGAGATCAAGTTCCATGACTGGCAAAAAAAAATATTTATTTATTTATTGGCAGTACTAGGGTTTGAACTCAGGGCCTTGGACTTGCTAGGCAATAACTCTATTGTTTGGACCACACTTCCAGCCCTATTTTTTAAATATTGTATATATAAAAAGAAATATCTTGAGTCCGGCAGGGTTGTCTGGGGCCGAGGCTAGGCCCACGGTCAGGCTACGTGAGCTGATTCCGGGCTACGGTCGCCAGGACCGGGTCAGGCCCACCTCGGACCCTGAGTGTCGGGTCACTGGTTCCCGGACGCAGCCGCCTGGCCCGCGAGCGACACGCAGACGCCCCCTCCGGGACGTGGGGAGCCGCCAGCCTCAGGGCCCAGGAAGGGTCCACTGCGGCCGCCGGAGCCAGGCGTGCAGAGGACCCCGCAGAGCCTCCTCCCCATCCGACGGCTGCGCTCCTACCCGCAGCCAGGCGCCCCCGCGGTCTTCTCGCCCTGCCTGGGCCTGTGTGGCGCTGGGCACCGGCGCTCAGGAGGGGTGGCTGGCTGGAGGTACCCCGCTCACCGTTCCCGGAACCCGCACTCTACCAGACTAGCGGGGCTCAGTTTCCACTTTCTGGTAACACTAGTGCCAAATTAGTATAGTATCAGAATCGGCTTGCGTCGCCAGTCTGTCTTTAGTGGACTTAAGCCCCGTAGTATAATTGAGATCACCTAAAAAAATTGTGCAAAGCCGGGTGTCGGTGGCTACGCCTGTCTTCCCAGCTTTTGAGGAGGATCTGAGGATCATGGTTCAAAGCCAGCCCGGGCCGGAAACTTTGTGAGACTCTTATCTACAATAAACCACCAGAAAACCGGAAGTGGCTCTGTGGCTCAAGTGGTAGAGCGCTCGCCTTGACCAGCCTTGAGCTGAAGAGCTGAGGGGCAGGCCCAGGCCCAGAGTTCAAGCCCAAAAAAAAAAAAAAAAAAAAAAAAAAAAAGGAGGGCTGGGAAGGTGGCTCAGTGGAAGAGCGCTTGCCTTGCATGCCTGAGGCCCTGGGTTCGATTCTTCAGCACCACATAAACAAAAAGAAAAAAAGCCGGAAGTGGCACTGTGGCTCAAGTGGTAGAGCGCTAGCCTTGAGCTGAAGAGCTGAGAGACAGTGCCCAGGCCAGAGTTCAGGCCCCATGACCAGACCCAAAAAAAAAAAAAAAAGAAATATCTTGGCAATAGAATCTAGTTTTAAACACAGAATTCCTTTGTGTTTTCATATACACCATATACACATAACCTGACAGGTTTTTTAGTTCATCACATGGGCTCAGGTATAGAATATTCAACTTGCAGCATCACACTGGTATTCAAAGTTTCAAGAAGTCTGGAGTATTTTGGATGTTGATTCTCTATTCATGGATGCTGCCAGCCCTATTTTTTTTTCAAATAGGGTCTCACAAGGCTGCCCAGACTGACTTCAAATTCTCAATCCTCTTACTTCAGCCTCTAGAATGCTGAGATTACAGGCATACACTACCACAGCTGACATATCTTCTTATAATAAACACACGCTCTTAGGCAGAAGTCCATAGAATTGTAAGACTATACTATTCACATAATAGATCTGGCTTTGCATTTACAGTTTCTTCTTTTTTTTTCTTTTTGCTGGCTTTGGGGCTTGAACTCTGGGCCTGGGCGCTGTCCCTGAGCTTCTTTTTGCTCCAGGCTATTGTTGTACCACTTGAGCCACAGTACCATTTCCAGCTTTTTTTGAATAGTTTATTGGAGCTAAGAGTCTCACAAACTTTCCTGCCTGGGTTGGCTTTGAATCACAATCCTCAGATCTCAGCCTCCTGAGTAACTAGGATTACAGGTATGAGCCACCAGTGCCTGGCTTATATTTTCTTTTATTTAACAAAATGTAACATACACTTACATGCCAGAAATGAAGGGCTTTACATATATTAATTCATTTTCTGTAACTGTCCCATAATAGATAGTAGGATATTTTTTCCTACTGGGGATTGAACCCAATGGCAAAAATGCCTCATGTGGGCCAAGAATGCAGTCTGCCATCTTTCAACCAAAGATGAAAAAGGGTCACAGGGCCTTGGTGCTGTCCCTCAGTCAGACAACTGGCCTAAGATCACACAACAAAGTGGCCTAGCCAGGATTTAAACCCAGGGAAAAACAACCAGCTTTAGTCTCTGCTCTTTACTGCTAAATGAATTGCTTTTATCCTCTCCCCTCTTCCCCCTTCTTTCCCTGTCTCTCTGTCTTTTGGTACCAGTTTTGGGGATTGAACTTAGGGCCTGGGAACTGTCCCTGAGCTTTTGTGCTTAATGCTAGAACTCTACTGTTGAGCCATGGTTCCATGTCCACAGGAATGTTGGTCCACAAGCATTCCTGCCCAGGTTGACTTTGAAATGTGATCCTCTGTTCTCAGTCTCCTTGAGTAGCTAAGATTACATGCATGAGCCACCAGCATCTGGCTGTCTGTCTCTTCTTTGGTAGAATTGGGACTTGAACTTAGGGCCCTGCACTTGCTAGGCAGGTACTCTTATCATATGAGCCATGCCCGAGGCCCCCTATGACACTGCCTCTTAGCCACTGTCATAAGGTTTCCAAAAAATGACAATAAAGGTTCTTAATTCAAATAAAACCAGTGCATCACAATAATTTCCTCTCAGGGGCTGGGAAGGTGGCTCAGTGGTAGAGCGCTTGCCTTGTATGCATGAGGCCCTGGGTTCGATTCCTCAGCACCACATAAGCAAAAAAAGAAAAAAGCCAGAAGTGGCGCTGTGGCTAAAGTGGTAGAGCGCTAGCCTTGAGCTGAAGAGCTGAGGGACAGCACCCAGACCCAGAGTTCAGGCCCCACGACCAGACCCCCCCACCAAAAAAAAATTTCCTCTCAGGAGAAAGAGGTGCCTTTTCAAATCTGCACATAGATTGGGAGAAGCCCTGTCCACCTGATATTCTTTCCTAGTTCCCCTTGTCCTCTCCAGAGGAGCACTAGGGTTTTTGTTTTGTTTTGTTTGGTGTCAGTTCTGGGGCTCAAACCCAGAGTTTGGGTGTTGTCCCTGAGCTTTTTGCTCAAGGTTAGCTCTCTACCACTTAAGCTACAGCTCCACTTACAGCTTCTTTTTTTTCTTTTGTCAATCATGGGGCTTGAACTCTGGGCCTCGGTGCTGTCCCTCAGCTCTTTAGCTCAAGGTGAGCACTCTACCACTGGGCCACAGCACCACTTCCAGTTTTCTGATGGTTAATTGGAGATAAGAGTCTCACGGACTTGCCTGCCCGGGTTGGCTTTGAACCGCGATCCTCAGATCTTAGCCTCCTGAGTAGCTAGAAATACAGGTGTGAGCCACCAGTGCCTTGAACATTGTTGAGTCAGAGGGACTGTTGGGAATACCTTTAAGTACAGAATATCTGAGAAAATTCTAGGGTATGACCACTCCCACTCCCCTGTTTTGGCAAGGGGGCCCCTAAGAAGCCTTTGATCTTTCCCAACTACCATCACTTACCTCAGCTTCCTTCAAACGCCGTTCAAACCAGCCCTTGGCTCCATCCATTGAGTGTACCTGAGCTTGAAGTTCCTCTACCATCTGCTGAAGGTTTTCCAGCTCCCGGGTTCGAGCCTAGAAGGAGCAAACTTCTCAGAGGCTAGACAGGCAGAAGAGTGAGTACTTCACATATGCCCTGGCCTATTGAGGGTTGATGCCAGGACTCAAGTGGTAAAGCACTTAGTTCAATCCTCAGTACTGCCAAAAAAAGAGAGAAAGATAGGCAGGTGCCAGTGGCTCATACTTATAACCCTAGCTATTCAGTTAGGAGACTGAGATCTGAGGGTTGTGGTTTGAAGTCAGCCCAAGCAGGAAAGACTGAAAGCGTCTCATCTCCAATTAACCACTTAAAAAGACAGAAGTGGAGCTGTGGCACAAATGGTGGAGCACCAGCCCTGACCAAAAAAGCACAGAGACTGTGCCCAGGCCCTGAGTTCAAGCCATCCATAGTACTGGCACAAAAGAGACAGACAGACACAAAGACATAGATGGAGAGACACAGAGCAGAGAGAAGGGCATCAAAACAACCACCAACCTTTTCCTCCTGGGATAGACAGACAGAGACAGAGACAGAGACAGAGACCAAAAAAAAAAAAACAGAGAAGGGCATCATCACCAACCCACTCACCAACCTTTTCCTCCCGGATCTGTCCACGGAGCTCCTCCTCCTGCCGCTTCTTGTCCTCATGCAGCTCTCGGAGCTCACGCTCATAGCGGGCACGTACTCCTAACACCTCCTTCTCATGACGTAATCGGATGGCACCCAGCTCTTCCTTGTGTTGAGACTTTTCCTGCATCGTCTCCATTGCTAGCTCATCCAGCATGACCTTCCGCTTCTCAGCACTCTGGGCAACAGGAAAGTGGCACTCAGTTTCCTCCCCCAACACCAGAAAAGACCCATCACTGTGTCCTCATGTCCAAGGAACTGGCCTCTTCAAACAGGTTAAATCACTCAGCCATCTTTATGGAAATGGTTGCATTAACTTCCTACTTCCAAGATTTGGCCATATCATATATGCACACATGTGGTGCACAAATCTCCATAGGCTGGACCAGTCCCTCATCCCATGGTGCCTTACCTTCCGTGCCTCCTGGAGGTCCTGGATCAATTGTTCCTTCTCCTGTCCTATATCTTGTAGTTGTTCCAGCAGCCGATTATTGGCTCTTAGTGATTCCTAGTGCAGGAAAGAAAGGGATTAAGTTTGAGTCTCAGGTAGGTACCAGTCATGAAGACACTTCTGATAGACCCTATCAGAAAAGTGGGTGTTATGGGGGCTGTTATGGGAAGGTGGCTCAGTGGTAGAGCGCTTGCCTTGCATGCCTGAGGCCCTGGGTTCGTTTCCTCAGCACCACTATAAGCAAAAAGAAAAAAGCCAGAAGTGGCGCTGTGGCTCAAGTGGTAGAGCACTAGCCTTGAGCTGAAGAGCTGAGGGACAGTGCCGAGGCCCAGAGTTCAGGCCCCACGACCGGACCCAAAAAAAAAAAAAAAGGCTTTTTGGTGGTTAATTGGAGATAGACTCTCATGTGCTTTTCCTACCCGGGCTGGCTTCAAACCACAATGGTCAGATCTCAGCCTCCTGAGTACATGGGATTACAGGCATGTACCACCTGTAGGTGACTAGGATATCTATTCTAATTTCATAATATGAGTTGAATTTCTTTTACCCAGAACACTTCTGGCCAGAAGTGCCACTTCCGGCTTTTTTCTTTTTGCTTATAGTGGTGCTGAGGAATCGAACCCAGGGCCTCAGGCATGCAAGGCAAGCGCTCTACCACTGAGCCACCTTCCCAGCCCCACCAAAAAGCCTTAAGTGGAGTTATGGTTCAGGTGGTAGGGCATTAACTTTAAGGGAAAAAGCCGAGGAACAATTCCCAGATCGAGTTTAAGCCCCAGTACTGGCATTCATACATCCTCACAAAAAAAGAATGGATATCCCTAACTTATTGAAGAGGGTAAGTCTTGCAGACATGAAACTATTTGAGTGAGGACATTCAGGAATTAGCAAGTTAGAGATTCACACATGAGTCTAGGTCCTCTACTGTCTTCCTACATAAGGACTCCACCGAGCCAATACTAAGGAACTGCATGACAGACCAGAACCAGAAGTGTTACCTGGAGCTGGGAGTTGAGGTCATCTTTCTGTCCCATGAGATCTTTGTATTCAGTCTGTCGCTGCTGTAACTCAGCTGCCAGCCCAGTGGTCTGTTCCCGGAGCATATTTAGTTCCTGTGTTTTTGCTGTTTGGATCTGGAGAAAGTGGTGGTGATAGGCAATGGAGTATAAAGGACCCGAGCGAGGGCCTAGGCAGAGGACATGAGTTTCCCCGTTTCAGAAAGACAGAGAAGTATGAAGAGAGGTAGAGAGAGAAAACTTCAAACAGAAAAACAGGGAAGAAAATGTAAAAATGACATATCTATGCAATGGAATATTACGCAGTAATAGAAGAATAGACCATGTTTCATACAGACAAATTTCACAAATACAAAGGTGTCAGAAAGAAGCCACAGGCACAGAGCATTGATTACATTCATATAAGTTAAAGAACAAACAAATGAGATCTATGCTGCTAAAGATCAATATAATGGTGATCCCTGAGGGAATACAGATGGGAAGGGTAAAGGGAACCTCCTACAGTATTGAATATGGCTGATATATTGATCTGGAGGTGGCTAATGGGAGATAGAAAGATAGGAAGTGGGATGGATAGATAGGATTCACTGAGTATATATAAGATCATTTAAGATGATTACATTCCATGCAATTTACTGGAAGAGAATGTCACAGAAGTAAGGATGAGATGATTAGAGAGAAGAGGGCAGGAAGCCAAAAGAAAGAAGCAACAGAAAGAGACGCCAGAGAACAGCAGGGGATCCAGACCACCCTGCCTGGATGTGGACCAGAAGCAGAGGGAGATAGGGGAACTGGGGTGAGATCAGCAAGGGCTCCCAGGTGTCCTGTACCTGCTCCAGAGCAGCCAGGCTAGTCCTCAAGGCATTGTTCTCAGCCAATAGCCCTTCCACTTGTTCCTGCGCATCTGCACTCTGGATGGACACCTGGCCCCACCCCACGACAGGTGAGAATAGGTCCAAGACAGGGGGACAGGACCTACCCGCAGCCAAGAAAGGAGACAGATACACAGACACACAGAGCAGGACTAGAAGAAATCAAGACACCTCCCACCACTTGGACCCTTGCCTGCTTGTAAAGGAACCACTCAGTCCTTTCTCCACCCTCAATCCCAGCTCCATGAGCACAACATACCTGATCTTGTAGGGCCCGCAAAGCTGCTGCATGTTCTAGGCGTTCTCCCTGTCGCTGATCTCTTAGTTCTGCCAAGCTCTGTAGGGAAAAGGAGGTCAGAGGAGCCCATGTGAGATCTCAGTCTCCTCTTGGGTACATGTAACAACACAGACTGACCAATCAGCATGCTCCTAGCACTTGTGAGTCTTGGAAATATCCATCAGAGATCTCAGGTCCATCCAGACTCCAAGATATTACCCCAAGGATCTCAAACATCCTCACCCTATCTATCCTAGCATCAAAAAATCTCAGAAACATTTAAGCTTCTGGCCCTAATTTGCAGGGAGCTGAAACTATTTCAATCCCCATTAACAGGAAGTCTCACAGTCCAATTCCAATTGGGGAGCTCCAAGATTCTCAACCCCTAGATACCTCATATAGGGTCAGCACCCAGGGACTATAGCTTCACTCAGACTCTAGATGCTAACTATCAATATAAACTATAAACTCCTAATTCCAGACCCTAGAGATGTAAATCAAACAACCTCTTAGTTCCTAGTTCCTGGAAAAATCTCAGACTGATCCTCCTGATCAGATTGATCTACCACACTGGTTCCCCAGTCTCTAAGGATCTTCAGGCCCAACTGTTGGGGGAAGATCTCAATTTTTAATTTTGTGTGTGTGTGTGTGTGTGTGCGCGTGTGTGCGTGCGCGCGCACGCACCAGGGCTTGAACTTAGGACCTGAGCATTGTCCATTAACTTTTTCACTCAAGGCTAGTGCTCTATCACTTGAGTCCTAGCCCCACTTGCTTGTTTTTTTGGTTTGTTTTGTCTGTCGTGGGGCTTGAACTCTGGGCCTGGGTGCTGTCCCTCAGCTTTTCACCTCAAGGCTAGCACTCTACCATTTGAGCCACAGCGCCACTTCCGGCCTTTTCTGTTTATGTGCTGCTGAGGAATCAAACCCAGGGCTTCATGCATGTGAGGCAAGCACTCTACTGCTGAGCCACCTTCCCAGGCCAACTTCTATTTTTTTTTTTTTGATGGTTAATTGAAGATAAGAGTCTCACAGACTTTTCTGTTCAGTCTGGCTTTGAATCAGGATTCTCAGATCTTAGCTTCCTAAATAGCTAGGATTATAGGCATGAGCTCCCAACTCCCAGCAAGGGTCTCAATTTTACATAGACTCGTCACAGCCCTTGTATTCCCAGTTTCTAGGGCCTCCAGCTCACAAGCCGTCATATCCTCCATACCAAGGGACCTGACACCTAGGGAGATCAGATCCTTTGTGCAGAAAAGCTCACAGGCTTTAAAACCATACAGTCTTTGACCCCCTGGAGCCCTGTACCCATTTAAGATTTTTTGCTCTACTCCCTAAAGATCTCAGACTGATCAGCTTTTGTTTTCTGCCCTCAGGGGTCATCCATCTCATATATTCCTCTTCCTATACATGTCAGGCCTAAATCAGACCCCTGTACCTTGAGACTCTCCAATGTATTTAGCCTTTAGCCTCAACTACCCCACCACTGAAAGTCTTGAATCTATTTAATTCCCATGTCTTTAGCCCTCATGTGTTTCAAATGTACTAACACTCCAGTGCTTAAAGGTTTCAACATTACCCAGCTTGCAGTGGGACAGTTCCAGAGCTAATTCAACCCAATTCCTAATTCTAGTTCCCAGTGGGAATTTTAGATTTATATAAACTCATAGCACACAATCTTCCAAGTACTCAGCTCCCAGAGATTCCTGATCCATGCAGCCTTCTACGGCAAACACTAGGGTTCTCAAGGCTTCCATTTTCTTAGCTCCTGAGGGACCTATACCCACTCTGTCCATATATTTCCAACAAAGGAAATCTTAGACTCCCCACCTGCATTACAATAGACCTTAGACCTCCCCAGACTGCCAGCCCTGGCCTCCACTCCAGGGACCTTGGGACCCAGTACCCTCACCTGATTGGCAGCCTCAAGTTCCTGCTGTAACTTCTGGGTGCGAGCCAACTGGGCTTTGAGGTCAGCTTCCTTTCGTTGTTGTAACTCCTCTATTTTGTTCCTGGGGGTGACAAGGACTGGGCACATGAGACATAAGGCACGGCCCATTCTCACAGCTTTGCCCTGTTGTCTTTAGTTAATTCTGCCGGTCATGGTTCCTGTTTATCTACCAGTACCCTCAACCCCGGTAGTTACCTGCTGTCATTAAATAATGTCTCCTTCTCTGTCTGCAGACGGCAAAAACTGGGCATAGAAAAAGACACAGTTGGGTCATTTCCACAAATCTATTCCCTTTAGGTCCCCAAAGCCCTTGGGGTGGGAAACAAAAAAAAATATACCTTTCTTGTTTCTTTTTCAGTTTCTCAGAAAGCTAGGGAGGAGAAAGGAGTACAAACAAATGATAACAATGAGAATAACAATTTAATTCTCATAAATAAGAGAATAACATTAATTAAAAAATAATAGCCCCACGACCAACAAAAAGATAAAATAAACAATATTTACAGACACATCTTACTGAGTCCTTTCTGAAAGCCAGCATTTACTTATATCATCCTGTGGAATTCTCAAAATGGCCCTGAGAATTGAGAACTATTGGATTTACAAACAGGAAAACTGAATTTCAGAAGGATTAAGTAATTTGGCTTCCTAGCTGGTCAACAGAAACATTATCTCCAACTAGATCCTTTAGGTTCCAAAGGCCAGCATTTGTTCCCAATATAGTAGTCAAAGGCCACAAGAGACAATGTCTAAGCTGGGAGCCCAGAAAAACAGGATCCTGGTTGGGCCTCCAGATTCTATGAGCCAAGAGTATGTAAATCGTTGGATGGATGAATGAATGTGTGAAGTTGAGGGTAGATAGACAGGGGCCCGCCATGCAGAGAGGATGGGACCACATTATCCTATGCAACTCAGACATGAGTGCTACCCTTTCCACTTTACACATGATGAGACTGAGCCTCTGAGAAAGCACAATGCCCCTTCTTCTCTTGTAGGAGAAAGTCTAGCAGCCCCACCTTAGCTAGTTCCTCCTGTAGCCTGGATGTTTCGGCCTGTTTTGAACTCTACAGAGGAAGAGATAAGGGTGTTGTCAGCAAGGATAGGGAAGGTAGAAGCCTTCCCAGATCTCCCCACCTCCCTCACCTCTCAACCCACCAGATGGCCATGTCAGACATCTTCATGGGACACAGGCAGAGTAGAACATCTGCCTGCCTCCTGGCACTCAAGCCCCAACACCCTTAGATTCACCTCCAAGCCTTGTAGCTGCTCCCAGAGCAATCTCTTCTCCTCTTTCTCCATTTCCCATTTCAACTCCACCTCTGCCAGTGGCAGGGGGGCCGGAGCTGTAGGGATTGGTTCCATTGGGGGATCCCCCTGGCCCTCACTCACAGATGAGGACTTCATAGCCTCTTTCCCATAACGCTCCTGCAGGGCTGGTGGGTAGAACAAGGATTTATGATAAATGAGGTGTTTTGTGAAGCCCTTTGCCATGCCTCAAATAAAGGGAGAACACCCCTTTCACCTGTCAAGTTATAGAGACCCTGCTCCAAGCAAGCACAAGCCTCATCTGTTTCTAATAAATCATATTTTATTAACACACATTAGGTGCGCAAGGGAGGGTGATTCATTGTGACATTTCCCCACGTGTAAACAATATACTTTTACCAGCCTTCCCCATCACACTTCCCCATCTTCCTTGTCTTAAAACAATTTTCAAAAGGTTTCATTGTTCTACTGTCCTTTTTTTTTTTTTTTTTTTTTTTTGGGTGCTGATCCTAGGGCTTAAACTCAGCCTGGGTGCTGTCCCTGAGTTTTTTTTGCTCAAAGCTAGCACTCTACCACTTATACCACAGCTCACTTTCAGCCTTTTGGTAGTTAATTGGAGATAAGAGTCTCACAGACTTTCCTGCCTGGGCTGGCTTCGAATTGCAATCCTCAGGTCTCAGCATCAGCTCAGAAATAGCTACCAGCTCATTGTTCTAGTTCTATTTTCTTCTCTTTTTTTTTTTTTGTTGTCATGGGGCTTGAACTCTGGATCTGGGCACTCTCCTTGCGCTCTTCAGCTCAAGGCGAGCCCTCCACTGCTTGAGCCACAGCACCACTTTGGTTTTCTAGTGGTTTATTGGAGATAAGAGTCTCACAGACTTTCCTGCCCAAGCTTAGATTTGAACTGCGATACTCAGATCTCAGCCTCCTGAGCAGCTAGGATCACAGGCAGGAGCCACCAGCACCCAGCTTCATCTTCTTTTATTTCATTTATTTATTTATTTTCCGGTTGTGGGGACTGAACTCTGGGCCTGGGCACTGTCCCTCAGCTCTTCAGCTCAAGGCTAGCATTCTAACACTTGAGCCACAGTGCCACTTCGGGCTTTTTCTGCTTATGTGGTGCTGAGGAATCAAACCCAGGGCCTCATGCAAGTGAGCCAAGCACTCTACCACTGAGCCACCTTCCCAGACCTCATCTTCTTTTCTAACAAGTCATTTTAAGTTTTTTGAACCTCTGAGATCCTGTTTACCATAGTATGCCACTCCAGTACTGAGACATAAACTCAGTGTCTTGATCAATTTGCTTGCTCATGGCTGGCACTCTATCACTTAAGCCATGCCACTACCTTGGCCTTTTTACTGGTTAACTGGAGATAGAGTCTCAAGGACTTTTCTGACTCTCCACTTTGGGAGAGATGAATGCTCATCTGGCTTTGATTCACAGCCTTCTAAGTAGGTAGGATTATATGCATGATCCACTAGCTCTCAGATTGAATTCTTCCTATGACCCCCCCAATTCCCATCCATAATTTTTTTTTATCGGTCATGGGGCTGGAACTCTGGGCCTGGGCACTGTCCCTGAGGCTCTTCGGCTAAATGCAAGCACTCTACCACTTGAGCCACAGTGCCACTTCTGGTTTTCTGGTGGTTAATTGGAGATAAGGGTCTTACAGTCTTTCCTGCCTGGGCTGGCTTTGAACCTCGATCCTCAGATCTCAGCCTCCTGAGTAAGTAGGATTACAGGCATGAGGCACCAGTGCCAGGCTCCTCCCACCCATATTTTAATAAGTCTCTTTCCTGATCACAGAACTAGAATGCATTACCACACAAGTCCTACTTGCTCATGGAAAGTCTATACATCAAGACCTTCTCATAGTCTACCAAGCTGCCATCTTTCAGGTTGAATCTAGGTTCAGAATCTCCCCAACATTCTTTCATTCACGTTCTCAAAGTGGCCAATATCTTTTTTCCAACATTTATACAGACACTAACATTTGCTAGTATTTGAACTAAATGCAGAATAGTATCAACTCTTATCTCCACAGCCATCTTCCAGATACCACTATGTACTATGCAGAAAAGTAAACTTCATCTCATAGAGGTAAAATCACTTCTAAAATCCAAAACCATATACTTGTTCATGGCAAGACCCAGCCTCACTCTTCATTTTCCCTTGAGAAGACATCTTTTCTTGCTCCACTCAAGCCCTGAATTCCCTATAAAGTCAGGAAAACCTCCATGTACCTGCCACATTCTTCTGCAAAGCTGTGTTCTCTGCTTGCAGTCTCAGCAACTCCCCATCCACATGTGACCCATGGGCCACTGCTCCAGCAGCCCCTTCCTTCAGTTGCTGATTCTCCCGCTCCAGCTGTTCCATCTGGCTGCAGAGCTGAGTAGAGGAAGAGAAAGGATAGCAGAGAATCAGCAAATCAGATCAAGATTCACTGAAACAGCCTGGGTACCAGTGGCTCCATGCCTATAATCCTAGCTACTCAGGAGCCTGACAATTCAAAGCCAGTCAGGGTAGGAAAGTCCATGATACTCTTATCTCTAATTAAGTAGGAAAGAACCAGAAATGGAGCCCAGTGCCAGTGATCCTAACTACTCATGAGGCTGAGATCTGAGGATTAAGGTATGAAGCTAGCCTGGCCAGGAAAAATCAGTGAGACTCATCTCCAACTAACAACCCCAAAAGCTGGAAGTGGACATGTGGATCAAGTGGTAGATTAGTGTTGATCAAAAAAACTGACGGAGAGCCATGCTGGTGGGTCACACCTGTAATCCTAGTTACTTGAGAAGCTGAGATCTGAGGATCACGGTTCAAAGCCAGCCCGGGCAGGAGAGACCATGAGACTCCTATCTCCAATAAACCACCAGAAAACCGGAAGTGGCGCTGTAGCTCAAGTGGTAGAGCGCTTGCCTTGAGCTGAAGAGCTGAGGGACAGTGCTCAGGCCCAGAGTTCAAGCCCCACGACCGACAAAAAAAAAAAAAGACTCATATCTCCAATTAATGACTGAAAAAGCTGGAAGTGGTGCGGTGCCTCAAGTTCTAGAATGCTAGCCTTGAGCAAAAGGAGCTTAGTGAAAGTGCCCAGGCAGAATTCAAACTCCAGGATCATCACCAACAATAACCACCATGTAATATAGGTGCTTTTACACTCTACAGAGAAGGAAACTGGGGCACAGTGATGTTAGGAACTTCAAATCACACAACTGCTAAATAGCAATGCCAAAAGGGATATAGGGCCGGGCACTGTTGGCTCACACCTATAATCTTAGCTGCTTCTTCTTCTTTTTTGTTTTGCCACTCATGGGGTTTGAATGCAGGACCTGGGCACTGGCCTTGAGCTTCTTTTTTTTGGGTCCAGTTGTGGGGCCTGAACTCTGGGTCTCGGTGCTCTTCAGCTCAGGGCTAGTGCTCTACCGCTTGAGCCACGGCGCCACTTCTGGGTTTTTCTGTGTATGGGGTATTGAGGAATTGAACCCAGGGCTTCATACAAGCTAGGCAAGCACTATACCACTAAGCTACATTCCCAGCCCTAATCTTAGCTTCTCGGGAGGCTGAGATCAAAGGATCACAGTTCAAAGCCAGCCCAGGCAGGAAAATCCATGAAACTCTTATCTCCAATTAACCACCAGAAAAATCAGTGCTGTTCAAGCCCTAGGTCCAGCACCAAAAAAAAGTTATTTCTTTCCAGTTCTTAATATGTCTACCTTCTTTATGCCTTTCAGTGCTCCACTCAGATATAACCTTTAAAGTAGTATTGCCCAAGGTAGAAATTCTATTATTTTACATTATATTCATTACTTTCCTGGGGGGAGGGGGCTGGGGGTGGTGCTGGTAGCAGGGCTTGAATTCAGGGCTTCACACTTGTTCAGCTTTCTTGCTCTCAGCTGGTACTCTTCTACTGAGCCTCACTTTCAGTTCAGTACATTTTTTTTCTGCTTATGTGGTGCTGAGGAATTGAACCCAGGGCCTCATGCATGCAAGGCAAGCGCTCTACCACTGAGCCACCTTTCCAGCCCCTTCAGTACATTTTTAAATGATTAGTTGTGGGGCTTAAACTCAAGGCCTGGGTGATGTCCCTAAGCTTTTTCACTCAAGGATAGTGCTCTACCACTTTGTGCTACAATGCCACTTCCAGTTTTCTGGTGGTTAATTTGCTAATTGGTGTCTCATGTACTTTCCTACTGAAGCTGTCTTTGAACAGCTATCCTGAGATCTCCTGAGATCCCCCTGAGCTAAGATTACAGGCATGAGTCACTAGCATCTGGCTTCAGTTCAGCATTTTTACTGGCTAATTGGAGATGGAGACACAAAGACCTCTCTGCCATGGCTGGCTTTGAAGTGTGATCCTCCAAGTCTCAGCCTCTATAAGATTACAGGTATGAGCCTCTAGGTCTCTGGCAGTGTTCATTCATCTTTTTTTCCTTTTTTCCTGTTGTGCTGGTCGTGGGGATTGAACTCAGGGCCTGGGCACCATCCCTGAGCTTTTTTTGCGCCTGGCTAGCACTCTACCAACAGAATTACAGCTCCATTTCTGGCTTTTTGGTAGTTATTGGAGATAAGAGTCTCATACACTTTGGGTTGGCTTTGAACTGCAATCCTCAGATCTCAGCCTTCTTAGTAGCTAGGATTATAGGTGTGAGCCACCAGTGCCCAGTCCTTTCTTCCTCTCTTTCCTTCCCTCCCTCCCTTTCTTTTTTTTTTTTTTTTCAGTTGTAGAGCCTGAACTCTGAGCCTGGGCACTGTCCCTGAGCTCTTCAGCTCAAGGCTAGCACTCTACCACTTGAGCCACAGTGCCACTTCCAGCTTTTTCTTCTTATGTGGTGCTGAGGAATCGAACCCAGGGCCTCATGCATGCAAGGCAAGCACTCCACCACTGAGCCACCTTCCCAGCCTATTCCCTCCCTTTCTTATTTTTGTACTAGTACTGGGGATTGAACTCAGGGCCCTTAGCTTTTGCTAATTTTCTTTTTTTTTTTGCCGGTCGTGGACCTGAACTCTGGGCCTAGGCGCTGTTCCTCAGCTCTTCAGCTAAAGGCGAGCACTCAACCGCTTGAGCCCACAGCACCACTTCTGGCTTTTTCTGTTTACGTGGTGCTGAAGAATCGAACCCAGGGCCTCATGCATGTGAGGCACGCGCTCTACCACTGAACCACCTTCCCAGCCCCTCTTGCTAATTTTCATCTCAAGTCTGGCACTCTACCACTTGAGCCACAGCTCCACTTCTGGCTTTTTGCTGGTTAATTGAAGATAAGAGACTCATAGACTTTCCTGCCTATGCCATCTTGAATTGTGATCCTCATATCTCAGCCAGGAGCTAGAATTACAGATGTGAGCCACCAGAACCCAGCTGAGGCATCAGGACATATCACTACTTTTTTTTTTTTAATTATGCCAGTTCTAGGGCTTGAACTCAGGGCCTGAGTGCTATTCCTGAGCTTCTTTTGCTCAAGGCTGGCACTCTACCACTTCACGCACAGCTCCTTTTCCCAGTTTTTTGGTACTTAATTGGATATTAAAAGAGTTTCATGGAGCTGGGAATGTGGCTTAGTGGTAGAGTGCTTGCCTAGCATGCATGAAGTCCTAGGTTCAATTCCTTAGTATCACATAAACAGAAAAACCTGGTAGTGGCATTGTGGCTCAAGTGGAAAAGTGCTATCCTTGAGCAAAAGAAGTTCAGGGATAGTGCCCAGGCCCTAAATTCAAGCCCCAGAATTGGTAAAAAAAAAAAAAAAAAAAAAAATTCTCACAGACTTTCTAGGATGAATTACCCAGAAGAAGTAGAACTCTAGGCTCATATCAGATAAAGGGAAGGAAAAGTAAAGGGAAACAGCTCAAATACCTTTCAATTCTTTATTAAGAACTTTACCTAATACCTCACAAAACACTGACACTCCTGACACTCTATAGCATCAGCCTCAAATTATACACATGGAGACTTGAACCTGGAAGAAAAAAAAGGAGCTCCTTGCCCAGGAACCAAATAAGTTCAGTGTTTAAAGTCTTTCTAATCCCACCATAGAGAAAGGCCCCATCTGTCAAACCACTGCCCTCAATAATAGAAATAGACCAGGGCCTGCTTCAGCACCACGGACAGTGCTTCAATGCCAGACCCTCTCTGCCTATGTCAGGTTTAGATCAAGGTGGCTTCTACCCATATATACATCATTCCCATTCCCCTCCTCCCCATCTCTTCCCAGCATCAGTACCTTGCTGAACTCAGCCATAAGTGTGCTGTTCTGCAAACGGAAGTCTTCTTCCTGGCTGTGCAGTTTTGCCTGTAGCATCTCATTTTCACTCAGGAGTACCTCGACTTCCTGCAGTGGAAGATATAGGACAAGACTCCAACAGGGGCAGAGAGAATGAGGATACATGGAAAGGAAAGAAAGGGAAAAAATGGCATACAGGAGAGAGCACAGGGTAGAGAAATAGGAAGAGACAGACAGGGAGGAATAAAATAAGAAGGTAACAGAGAAAGAGAGAGATGGAAAGAAAATGGGGAGGGAAGGATAGACAAGTAGGAATTGGGAGGAAAGAGAAAGATGAGAGGGAGAGGTAGGTAGAAAGATGAGAAAGGGGGCAAAGAAAAGGAAGAAGAACAGGATCAGGGGAGAGGAAAAAAAAACAGAAAAAAATAGAAAGACAGAAGAATAGAGAAAAATCAATAGGAAAAAATATAACAAAGAGAAGACAATTTAGGAAGTAAACAAGTCAGGAAGATAGAGACATGGGGCAGAGAGAAATGAGGAATCAAAGAAGGAATATAAAAGCAGAAAAAAAACATGATGGCAAAGATAGGAACACATAAAGAGAGAGACAGGGAAGGTTGAGGAGCAAAACAAAGTTGGGGAGAGGAGAATGGAAGGACAGAGATGTGAACAGAGAAGAAAGATATGCAGCGATGCAGAATGCAAACCAAACACAGAGAAACACACGGCATTGAGGAAGTTATCAGTGCAAGGGCTCATATATATAGAGAAGCCATTACACAGAAATATTCCCATAAGGAAGTCTCACAGACCCATCTACCCACCATGGATCCCCTTACCTGAGCTTTCTTGCTCTTGTGCAGTGCCTAAAAGGAGGGTGGGAAGAGAACTAAAATGAATGGCAATGGACTATAGGGTATGGAGGCTACTATGTTAAGTAGTAAGGGAAGATGATGATGATACGAGTTATGGGATGGCAGTGTCTTCAATATGAGAACTTCTGTGACAAGTTGGAGCCCACAGAAATGACTGGTTGAGTGAGTGCACTAATGGAAATCTTGCCTTAGTGGTATAGCATTCAGAAACCTTCCTTTACAATGTGTATTCTTTTTTAAAGGGTGGGGGATGTCTCCATATTTAACCCTTTAAAGACTGTATAACCAAACTGGGAAATTGTGGCCTCATTTCCCACTGCATTGGCAGTCCAGGGCATTATCCAGTTTCTTCGTTTCTTTTTCAATTTGTTCCTATACTGTGCGGGGGGAGGAGGAGAAGTATTGGACTTTGAACTTAGGGCTTAATACTTGCAAGGTTGGTAGTCTACCAGTTAAGCCATGCCTTCAGGTCTGATTTTTGCTGGCTATTTTAGAGATGGAGTCTAGTGAAGTGTTTGTACCCAGCCTAGTTTTAAACAATGATCTTCCAGATCTCAGGCTCCTGAGCAACTAGGATTACAGATGTGAGCTACTGGCACCTGACACTGTCCAGTTTTTTGTTAGATTTTCTGCATTCTGGTTTCCTTTACCAAACAAATATTTATTAAGAATATCCTATGGAGAATATTGTGCTACACATGAGGACAGAGCAATGAAGGGCACAAAGTGCAGACCTTCAATATCTTGTGGGGACAAAACAGGTTATATTCTACTTTATCTCTATAAGACCTGAGAGAAGGGTTCAATCTCATGTCACCAATAGGAACAGAACAGAAATGAGAGTTAGGAGCACAAAACAGGAATGTAAGTAGAAGCAGATTTACTGATAGACCTCACTGTTTAATCCTAAAAGTTTATGAGTGAGTGAAACTAGGTGTGGTATGCACACCTCTAGACCCAGTTTTTCAGAAGGCTGAAGCCAGAAGATTGCTTGAGGCTAGGAGTTCAGTGCTAGCCAGGGAAATAACAAAACCCCATCTCAAAACAAAACAAAACAAAAACAGCTAGTGAATGATGAGGATGCAATTTATTAATAGAGTACTTGCCTAGAATGCACTTGCCTAGATTCAATCCCCAGCACCATCAAAAGAAATAGCATATGAGGGGCTGGGAAGGTGGCTCAGTGGTAGAGCGCTTGCCTTGCATGCCTGAGGCCCTGGGTTCGATTCCTCAGCACCACATAAGCAAAAAGAAAAAAGCCGGAAGTGGCACTGTGGCTCAAGTGGTAGAGCGCTAGCCTTGAGCTGAAGAGCTGAGGGACAGTGCCCAGGCCCAGAGTTCAGGCTCCACGACCGGACCCCCCCCCCCCCAAAAAAAAAGAAATAGCATATGAATGAGTAGTTGCAATTAGAATGAAGTAAATTAAGGCTGGGTGCTAGTGGCTCACATCTATAATCCTAGCTACTCAAAAGGCTGAGATCTGAGGATCGCAGTTCAAATCCAGCCTAGGCAGTCAAGTCTGTGAGACTCTCAGTTCCAATAAACCACCAGAAAACCAGAAGTGGTGCTGTAGCTCAAGTGGTAGAGTGCTCACCTTGAGCTGAAGAGCTCAGGGACATTGCCCAGGCACAGAGTTCAAACCCCATGACCGACAAAAAAAAAAAAAAAAAGAGTAAATTAAGGGGCTAGGAATGTGGCTTAGTGGTAGAGTGCTTGCCTCACAGACATAAAGCTGTGGTTCATTTCTCAGTACCACATACACAGGAAAAGCTGGAACTGGCACTGTGGCTCAAGTGGTAGAGTGCTAGCCTTGAGCAAAAGAAGCTCAGGGACAGTGCCCAGGCCCAGAGTTCAAGCCTCAGGATTTGCAAAAAAAAAAAGAAAGAAAGAAAAAGAAAAAGCCTGAAGTGGTGTTGTGGCTCAAGTGGTAGAGCACTAGCCTTGAGCACAGAGAGGTTCAGGGACAGAGCCTAGGCCCTGAGTTCAAGCCCTAAGACTGGCAAAAAAGAGTAAATTAATGGCTGGCATAGAGCTCAGTGGCAAAGGGCTTGCCTAGGAAGTGCAAAATGCTTGGGTTTGATCTCCAGTACCAAAAAAGGAAAGACCAAAAAAAAAAAAAAGTTAAAAAACAAACAAGAATAAATTAAACTAGGCTCTGGTTGTTCATACTATAATCCTAACTACTCAGGAGGCTGAGATCTGAGGATCATAGTTCAAAGCCAGCCCAGGCAGAAAAGTCCTAGTGAGACTTTTTTTTTGTCGGTCTTGGGGCCTGAACTCTAGGCCTGGGGACTGTCCCTCAGCTCTTCAGCTCAAGGCTAGTGCTCTACCACTTGTACTACAGCACCACTTCCGGCTTTTTCTGCTTATGTGGTGCTGAGGAATCGAACCCAGAGCCTCATGCATGCAAGGCAAGCACTCTACCACTGAGCCACTTTCCCAGCCCTACAGTGAGACTCTTATCTCCAATTAACCACTAGAAAGTTGGAAGTGAAACTGTAGCTCAAAGTGGTAAAGCATTAGATTTGAACAAAAGAGCTCAGGGACAGCACCCAGGCCCTGATTTCTAGCCCTACAGCTGACAAAAAGAAAAAGAATAAATTAAAATTAATCAATAAATTAAGCAGAACAGGGCTTGACAGGGCAGATTTATATGCCTAACACTTAAGAGGCCAAGGCAGAAAGATCATGAGTTCCAAGTCAGTCTAGGCTACATATAGTAAGTTCCAAGACAGGATAGGATATATTGTGAGGTCTTATCTCAAAAAATTAATTAACTAGGCAGAATGAGATAAAATAAGCAAACAAATAATTCATTAAATGATGAAATGGAAACAACATATAACATTTGGTCTGGTTCACTGTAAGTTTTCACTGGCTAGGTAAATGAGCCAGGTGAGTAGAGGAAAGCAGAGGGTGAGTGGGTAGTTGGGTAAAGGGAGGTACCTTTTGAGCTTTATTCAACTCCTTATCCAGGTAGGCAACCTTCTGTCGAAGACTGGTAAGTTCTGGTATGGGGAAAGCAGGGAATCTCAGTTTGAGGCAGTGGAAAGGGTCTGAGGAGTCTTCTTACCAGGCCCCTAAAGGACAAGTTTAGCCTCTGTCCCCCAAAGCCACCCTCATCTAATAAGACCCTCTTGGCTCACCAACACCATTCTTCCGTAGTTCATCTGAAAGCTGGTAGTTATTTGTCCGAAGTTCTAGGAGCTGAGCCTTTAGGGGAAGCAGAGTAGAAAAGATGTCAACCATGGACTGAACTGGTTCCTTCCACATGACTCCTCAGCCACTTGTTAAAATCTCTGTATAGCAGAGCACTAGTGGTTCACGCCTGTAGTCCTCGCTACTCAGGTCTGAGGATTGCAGTTTGAAGCCAGTTTGAGCAGGAAAAGCTATAAGATTCTTATCTCCAATTAACTAGAAGACCAGAAATGGAGCTGTGGCTCAAAGTGGTAGAGTGCTAGCCTTGAGCAAAAAGCTCAGGAACAGTGCCTAGGTCTTGAGTACAAGCCCCAAGGCCAACAAAAACAAAACAAAATCTGTGTATGCTGCATCCTAAATGAGATGTCAAGCCCTTACATTCCTGTTCCAACTCCTCTAGCTGCACTCCCTAGTCCCAACTAGCCTTCAACCCTCCATTTCCCCCATCTATCCATTTCTGCACTGGGGCCATTGTGCAGAGTGCTGACACAATCAGGCTTCTGTTCATATGTGTTCCATGACTCAACAAATCCACAGGATAAGTTCCTCCTCCACCTCCTCCCTCATCTTAGCTAACCTTTTTCCAGCACTGAACACAGTCCTGGCAAGACCTGGAGGCCCCTAAGGGCAAGGATCAAGAGATTGCCTTCCAACTTATTTTCCAAGGAAAATCTTGTATTCCCCTCCCCAGTTTTCATTCAGTCAGAGGGTTTCCCAGATCCTGCCACTAATAAGGTTCTGTCTCTGCAACAGTACTAGAACTTGAACTCAGGATCTGGGAAGTTGTCCATTTTCACCTTAAGTGAAAAAGCCACCATTCCACTTACAGGTTTTTGGTGGTTAAACAGAAACAAGAATCTCATGGAGGGCTGGGAAGGTGGCTCAGTGGTAGAGTGCTTGCCTTGCAAGCGTGAGGCCCTGGGTTCGATTCCTCAGCACCACATACGCAAAAAGAAAAAAGCCAGAAGTGGCGCTGTGGCTAAAGTGGTAGAGCCTTGAGCTGAAGCACTGAGAGACAGCACACAGGCCCAGAGTTCAGGCCCCACGACCAGATACCCCCCCCCCCAAAAAAAAGAATCTCATGGAGCCAGGCACCAGCAGCTTATGCCTATACTCCTAGCTACTCAGGAGTAAGAGATCTGAGGACCTTGATTCAAAGCCAGCCTGGGCAAGGAAAGTCTGTGAGACTTTATCTCCAATAAACCACCAGAAAACTGGAAGTGGCACTGTGGCTATGGTGGTAGATCATTTGCCTTGAGCTGAAGAGTGAAGGGATAGCACTGAGGCACAGAGTTCAAGTCCCACAACTGACAAAAAAAAAGAATCTTATGAACTTTCCTACCTAAGATGCTTTGAACCTAAATCCTCAGATCTCAGCCTCCTTGAGTAGCTAGGATGACAGGTTTTAGCCACCAGTGCCTGGCTTACTACTAAGGTTGTCAAATATTGTTCCAGCCAGATATTGGTGGCTCATACCTATAATCCTACCTACTCAGGAGGCTGAGAACTAAGGATCAAGGTTCAAAGTCAGCCTGGGCAGGAAAGTCTGTGAGACTCTTATCTCCAATCAACCACCAGAAAACTGGAAGTAGAGTTGTGGCTCCAAGTGGTAGAGCGATAGCCTTGAGCAAAAGAGTTCAGAGACAGAACCCAAGCCCTGAGTTCAAGCCCCACACTGACAAAAAATGTTTATTCCCTTTGAGGATTAAACAGCACATACCCCTCTATCTCCTCCATCAGCCCCGAAGAACACTGAAGCCCATTCTGCCTACACTAACTCACCGTCCTTTACCCCAGCAGAAACTTTCCCTCCTAAAGCACCAGGGAGAGTTTGGCAAATAATCTGTTTTTTGAGATTTTTTTTTTTGGTATCAGCTTGGGGCTTGAACTCAGGGCCTGGGAGCTGTCCCTGAGGTCTTTTGCTGGCACTCTACCACTAGAGCCACAGCTCCACTCTGGCTTTTTTGGTGATTATTTGAAGATAAAGTCTCAGGATTACCTTGCACAGGTTATAGTGAACTTTCATTGTTTAATGACTTCACCCTTACATCCCAGTGTCCCTCACACAGGGACAATTACTTTCCCTCATTCAAGGACCAATAGAATTATTTTCCCTCACTCAAGAATTCCTTCCCTCCACTCACAGAACTCTGAATAGAATTCTTCCCCAGTAAGAAATTCTGAAGAAGGACCCACTCACAGTGGAATATTTTTACCCTGTCTGAGTACCTCTTAAAATCAAGCGGTCAGATTGGGAATGTGGTTTGCATAGTATGCATGAAGCCCTGGATTCGATTCCTCAGTACCATAAGAGAAAATGCCAGAAGTGGTGCTGTGGCTCAAGTGGTAGAGTGCTAGTTTGGAGCAAAAAGAAGCTTACAGTGCCCAGGCCCCGAGTTCAAGCCTCAGGACTGGCAAAAAAAATTTTAAAAATCAAGTGGTTAGTTCCCAGTCAGGGTATCTCCCCAAAGCCCAATGATCTCCCTTCCATGCAGTTCAAGGTATCAACGACTCTTTTACCTCATCTTGTCCTGCCTTGAATAATGATTAATTTCATTACTCATTCAGGGACTTATTTACCTCCCCCTCCCCCCCCCCCCCCCCCCCCCCGTGAAATGGGATCATCCCTAATCATCCAATGGTACCAACCCTCTGGACCTTCACCTCCCACAGCAGCAACATCTTGAGTCTTTCCCCAATCTCCTGGCACAGTGGTATCTCCCACAAAGTTTCCACCTCGCACTGGCTAATGGTATGCCTTCAAAAGGGCTGCCCCCACCATGACGCAAACGGCCCAACGCTCCCTTCCTTCCCCTGCAAACAAAATGGTTTCTCCCTCTCCAGATTTTTCCCTCAAAGCTTAACATCATCACCCAACGATGGTATGTTCTGCATAAAGGCCTAAAGTTCTCATACCCCGAGGACTAAGGTATTGCCTACTTAAGAACGCCCGCTCTCCCTCCCGCCCACACGGCTGACAAGAACCTTCGGAACCCAAATAGTACCTCAGAACCCAATAGACTCGCCTCCGCTCAGACCTATTTTCCTTCCCCAGAACAACCCCTTAGATTCAAGTCCATCCAAACCAATTACTCCGAGCTGATAGCACTACCTCCCTCTATCCTTTCCCCGGTCGCGAGCCCGGGGGTCTTTCCCACGGCAAGCACCTGCATCCGCTGAAACTCCTCCTCAGACAGAGCTTGCGCCATGTTCCTCCCCCCCCCACCCCCCGACCGTCTTCCTGCGCAGTCGCAGTCCGTGCCCACTGGCAGGCTTCAGTTTGGACCGTACCACTGATGGGGAAAAAAATGGAGGTGTAAGAACCTAATTCAAAAGTTCAACATTTTGGAACTAGAGGGAAGGAAATAAACCAACTACTTGGGTGAGTTGATAATTCAATGTTTTGAGAGACTGTAAGTTATCTGGTATGACTTTTCAGCTATTGTAGAGGAGACATTGTTACGTGACAGTAAGGAATCCCTGTCTTAAGAGTGAACTCGTCATTAGGCAAGTGTTTGCCGACAGAAAATCACTTGCCGGGAACTCCTTTAAAGAGACTGGTTGACTTAAAAACAGTGGAAATGAAAGCGGAAGCTTTCCTGTCTTGTTCCCGCCCTCCTTTGGGTGACCCCTGAGGGGAATCCTGCCTCTTTAAAACCCTGATTCTTTCTTTTTTAAGAAAGATTTTTAATCATTTTATGTATGTGTGTACGTATGTATGTATGTCGTAGGGCCTGCAATCTAGGCCTGGGTGCTGCCTCTCAGCTCTTCAGCCCAAGGCTAGCGCTTTGCCACTTGAGCCACAGTGCCATTTCTGACTTTTTCTGTTTATGTGGTGCTGAGGAATCAAACCCAGGGCCTCATGCATGCAAGGCAAGCGCTCTAACACTGAGCCACCTTCCCCGTCCCTCAATGATTTTATTAACATAATGCTATATATAAAAATAGGTAAAGGACCCAGCAATGAATAAATTAAAAATACCTGAGGAGAAAGAAGGGGGAGCGAATCTCTTTCCCAAAAATCTCCATTAGAAACAAAAGTAAGAGTTGGAAGCTGGTGGCTCAAGCCTATAATCCTAGCTACTCGGGAGGTTGAGATCTGAGAATCGCAGTTCAAAGCCAACCCAGGCAGAAAAGTTCCCATGAGACTCCTTCCTATCTTCAATTAACCACCAGAAAATTGGAAGTGGAGCTGTTGTTCAAAGAGGTAAAGTACTAGCTTTGAGCCAAAGAGTTCAGGGAGGACTGGGAATGTGGATCAGTGATAGAGTGTTTTCCTAGCATACATTAGGCCCTGGGTTCAATTCCTCAGCACCACATAAGTAGAAAAAGCTGGAAGTGGTGCTGTGGCTCAAGTGGTAGAGTGCTGGCCTTGAGCTGAAGAGCTGAGGGACAGTGCCTAGGCCCAGAGTTCAGGCCCCAATACTAACCACCCTCCCCCCAACTTAAAACATAAATCATCTTTTTTTTTTGTCGGTTGTGGGGCTTGAACTCTGGGCCTGGGCACTGTCTCTCAGTTCTTCAGCTCAAGGCCAGCACTCTACCACTTGAGCTACAGCACCACTTCCTGCTTTTTCTGCTTATGTGGTGCTGAGGAATCGAATCAGGGCTTCATGCATGCGAGGCAAGCACTCACTCTACCACTGAGCCACCTTCCCAGCCCCCATGAATCATCTGTAACTTAAAAAAAAAGCCAGGTGGGGCTGGAAAGGTGGCTCAGTGGTAGAGTGCTTGCCTCCCATGCATGAGGCTCTGGGTTCGATTCCTCAGCACCACATAAGCAGAAAAAAAAAGCCGGAAGTAGCGCTGTGGCTCAAGTGGTAGAATGCTAGCCTTGAGGTGAAATGCTAAGAGACAGTGCCCAGGCCTAGAGTTCAGACCCACGACCAGAACCAAAAAAAAAAAAAGCCAGATGAAGGTGGCTCACACCTGTAATCCTAGCTACTCAGGAAGCTGAGATCTGAGGATCGAGGTTCAAAGACAGCCTGGGCAGGAAAGTCTGTGAGAGTATCACCAATTAACCACCAGAAACCCAGAAAGTGGCTCTGTGGCTCAAGTGGTAGAGTGCTTGCCTTGAGCTGAAGAACTCAGGGAGCACCCAGGCCCAGAGTTCAAGACCCAGGACCAACCAAAAATAAGAAAAAAAAAAGTTCAGGGACAGTGCTCAGGCTCTGAGTTCAAGACCCCCTAAAAAACTCTAAGACCAAGGGTGTGGCTCAAGGATAGAGTATGTAAGAAATGCTAAGTTTGATGATACAAAATAAAGGATGATGAGCTGGGAAGGTGTCTCAGTGGTAGAGCGCTTGCCTTGCATGCCTGAGGCCCTGGGTTTGATTCCTCAGCACCACATAAGCAAAAAGAAAAAAGCCGGAAGTGGCGCTATGGCTCAAGTGGTAGAGCGCTAGCCTTGAGCTGAAGAGCTGAGGGACAGTGCCCAGGCCCAGAGTTCAGGCCCACGACCGGACCAAAAAATAAATAAATAAATAAATAAAATAAAGGGTGGTGCGAGGAAGGAAGGAACTAAAACTAAGTATCTTGATGTGGAGCTATTGTTTTTATAGTAATTAAATGATTTGCTCACAATCAAAAATGTTTTTAATCAGAACTATTTTTTTCTTTTGTAACATAACTTGATTGAGACACAATCTTATCTCTGTATAAATGAGCTCATACATTCAGTGTGTTTGAACAAATATATACAACCTTGTAACCACCACCACAATCAAGATGGAATTCTTCTGGTGAAGCCAACAGGAGGCCCTGAGTTCAAACAGTACTGAGGAAAAGAAAAAGAAGCAGAAGCCAGTTGCAGTTACTGGTGGCCCATGCCTAGCTACTCAGGAGGCATGGAAGTTAAAAGCCGGCCTAGGTAGACAAATCAGAGATTCTCATCTCCAGATAACCAGCAGAAAGCTAGAAGTGGAGGCATAAAATGCCAGCCTTGGACAAAAAAAAGCCAGGAGTGTGAGGCCCTGAATTCAAGCCCCAGGACCTCACAAAAGAAAAAAAGAGACAATTATTTTCTATCACCTTTAAAGGTTTTTGTGTGTGTGTGTGCCCCACCACACCATTTTCTCAAATGACTTGAGATTGTACCTCTTCCTCCTTCACCCCATTCACTGAGGTTATGTCATACATTTTGTAATACAGTTAGATTATGTTGTCACAATCTCCATCCTACACTGGTACCCTTGACCTCCTGGTTGACTTTTGTTTCAAAAATATTAGGATGTGGGCTGGGAAGGTGGCCCAGTAGTAAAGTGCTTGCCTCACATGCATGAGGCCCTGGGTTTGATTCCTCAGCACCACATAAGCAGAAAAAAAGCTGGAAGTGGCACTGTGGCTCAAGTGGTAGAGCGCTGGCCTTGGGCTGAAGAGCTGAGAGACAGCACCCAGGCCCAGAGCTTAGGCCCCATGACCGGACCCAAAAAAGAAATTTTTTGTTCAAAGCTAGCTTTCTACCAGTTGAGCCACAGCTCTACTTCTAGCTTTTCTAATTAATTGAGGATAAGAGTCTCACAGACTTTCATGCCCTGACTGGCTTCAAAATGTGATCCTCAGATCTCAGCCTAGTGAGTAGCTCAGAATACTTATGTGAGCCACCAGTGCTTGGCTTCACTTCCAGGTTTTTTGCTGCTTAATTGGAGATTAGAGTCTCACAGACTTTCCTACCCTGATGGGCTTCAAAATGTCATCCTCAGATCTCAGCCTCCTGAGTAGCTAGCATTACCAGTACCTAGCATGACCTATGAGTTTTGACAAATATGTTTGTGTGTGTGTGTGTGTGTGTATGTGTGTGTATACAATTTTATTTTATTTTTATTTTTGTTGGTCGGGGGCCTGAACTCTGGGCCTGGGTGCTGTCCCTCAGCTCTTCAGCTCAAGGCTAGCGCTCTACCACTTGAGCCACAGTGCCACTTCCCTTTTTCTGCTTATGTGGTGCTGAGGAATCAAACCCAGGGCCTCATGCATGTGAGGCAAGCACTCTATCACTGAGCCACCTTCCCAGCCCCTGTTTAATATATTAAAAAAAAATGTTTTCCTCACAGTGTCTTTTAACTTTGGGTGGGACCTGAACTCAGGGCCTTGTGCTCTCATTTGGCTTTTTCCATTCACTATTTGAGCCATACTTCTACTTCCAGCTTTGTTGTTGTTGTTGTTGGTTGTGGGGCCTGAACTCTGGGCCTGGGCGCTGTCCCTCAGAACTTCAGCTCAAGGCTAGCGCTCTACCACTTGAGCCACAGCCCCACTTCCAGTTTTTTCGGCTTATGTGGTGCTGAGGAATTGAACCCAGGGCCTTATTCATTCAAGGCAAGCACTCTACCACTGAGCCACCTTTCCAGCCTTTTTTTTTTTGTCCTGACCCTTTTTGTCTGGACCTGAGCACTGTCCCTGAGCAATTCAGCTCAGCAAGCACTCTACCACTTGAGCCACAGCACCACTTCTGGTTTTCTGGTTGTTTATTGGGATAAGAATTTCATGGCCTTTCCTGCCTGGGCTGGCTTTGAACCTAGATCCTCAGATCTCAGCCTCCTGAGAGCTAGGATTACTGGTATGAGCCACTGGCACCTGTCTACTTTCAGCTTTTTTCTGGTTAATTGGAGATAAATGTCTCACAGACATTTCTTCTTGGGCTGGCATTGACCTCAATCCTCACATTTCAGCCTCCTGAGTAGCTAAGATTACAAGCATGAGCCACCAGCACCCTGTATCATATTTTTTGAGCAGGTGTGCACCCTCATATCTGGCTTCTTTCACAGTTGTATTAAGATTCCTTTGTAGCTGGGCGCCGGTGGCTGATGCCTGTAATCCTAGCTACTTAGTAGGCTGAGATCTGAGGATCAAGGTTCAAAGCCAGCCTGGGCAGGAAAGTCCATGAGACTCTTATCTCCAATAAACCTAGAAAACCAGAAGTGGTGCTGTGGCTCAAGCAGTAGAGTGCTCAGCCTTGAGCTGAAGAGCACAGGGACAGTGCCCAGTCCCAGAGTTCAAGCCCCATGACCGACAAAAAAAAAAAAAAAAGATTGCTTTGTAATATTTTTTTTTGTTACTGTTTTTTGTTTGTTTGCTTTGTTTTTTTACTGGCGTGAGCCACTGGTGCATGGCTATATTTGGTTTTGTAATTGATTCTCTAAGGTTTTCTAGGTAAAAAATAATACCATGTTAAATGAGAAAGATGTTTCTTTTCTCTTCCCAATCATTTACACTGCCTATAGTTGATTTATGTA